CCAATATCTGCTTTCCTAAAAGGGTTAACTCTTAACAGCCACTGTTTGTTGGGAGATTGGTCAGGACTCCAGAATTTCTGCCTATAAGGCCCTGAAGCACATGAATGAATAACTAGATGGTCTGATTTATACACTCTTTAAAACACACTTTGCTCTCCATTTTTGGTACACATTGTTTAGGTAGGTAATAAAAACCAAGCAGAAGGTAGAAAGGGTGTGAAAAGTTTTTAAAATTTATCTGAGGGTCCTTATCTGGAACTTCTCTAAGCTTAGGTTAGAAATCATTGGTTGTTAAGTCTGACTTCTGACTGGTACCAATGATTGGTTCAAGATTTCAAATTGAGGCTCAAAATCAGATTCAGAATGATATGGGGACTACTACTAACAACATCTACTCTTAAGAGTACTTACGATGCGCCAGATGTTGTTCTAAGGGCTACTCCTTATGTATTTGTGTATTTAATCCTTAAAAACCCAGGAAGAGGCAGGTACTACTTACGAACTCCATTTTAGAGATGAAGGAAAATGAGACACAAAGAGGTCAAGTACTTTGCCCAGGATCATGTGCTAGTAAGCGCCGGAGCTGGCACTAAAACCCAGGCAATCTGGCCTCAGAGCCTGTGCCTTTAACTACTGCTCTACATGTCCCTGAAAATCCTGAAATTACCCTTTCTCACATCGATCACTTTGTATAATGGAATTGAGTTACCAACAAATGGATCAACAAATAGGAAAGATAGAGAGATTTTTATTCCAATTCTATTAGAAATAAATGTCATTTGAAAAAAACATTTTGAATGTGAAGTGGAATTTATTCTGAATTTTTGATCACAACGCATTTGGGGAAGCTAATACCAAGACAGATTGAAATACCCAGTGAACTTTGACTAGTAATGTTCAAGGCACAATCACTGATATTTCCTGATTATATATTTATAATTGCCTATTTTCTAGTCTTATCTGTACTTGTGAAATATTTTGCCCCTGCTTTACTTTGGAGCACACTGCTCCTCTGGTAAGCTTTTTTGAATTGGCCTTTATTCAGTCATTAAATATTAACTGAGTGTTAGCCATGGGTAAGGCATTACATTTGGCCTTGGGGGATATAAAGAAAAATAAGATAAAGGCTCAGCTTTGAACTGAATTTATAATCTAATTGGAAGAATAAGTTTTCATTGGAAAAGGGAACAGGGGGTCCCCGTAAGAATGTGATAAATGCTCTGTGACTGTGGCCGACTTTGGGGATTTGACAGAGGCGTGAACACTCTGAGCTTTGATGTGGAATGTGAAGGTTAAGGAAGATTTTGATGGGCAGAGAGAAGTCAGCCCCTGTGTGTTGAAGGAAGCAAGAAGGTAAATGTGGAGAGTTGTAAAACAACGAGATGCATTTAACTTAGCAAGGGGATCTTTTTGCCTAGAAAGAAAGGTTCATATAGGGAACCAGTGGGAGATAAGATGAGAAGGGGAGGCTCATGATCCTAAGTTACCATTTAAGGAACCACAAGTCAGTCACAGTATAGTAGGTGTGTAGGCTATCCATGTGAACACAGATGGAGAGCTGTGTTGGGGTGGAGGGTGGGGATGAAGTTTTTATGCCACTAACTTAGCCTACTTTGTCAGAGATCCAACGGGGCACCATTAAAAGGTGAAGGGGGTGAGGGGTAGTAAAGGGTTAAGGGGGTCAAATATATAGTGATTGAAGATTTGACTTTGGGGGTGGGCACACAATGCAACATACAGGTGATGTATCATAGAATTGAACACTTGAAACCTATATAATTTTATTAACCAATGTCACCCCAATAACTTTACTTTAAAAAATGTAAAAAAATAAAGTCACCTGCTATACATCCCACACTTCATGAGATAGTTACTTCTAGTACTACTCTCTTTGGTAGACATGCTTTCTCAGCTACCTTTAAAAAAGGATTATAGCCCAGCCAGGCGTGGCTCAGCAGTTGAGCGTTGACCTAGGATCCAGGCAATCGGGGTTCGATTCCTGGTCAGGGCACATGCCCGGGTTGCAGGCTCCATCTCCAGCAGGGGGTGTGCAAGAGGCAGCTGATCAATGACTCTCTCATCATTGATGTTTCTATCTCTCTCTCTCCCTCTCCTTTCCTCTCTCTGAAATAAAAAAAAATATATATTTTTTAAAAGGATTATAATTTCTATTCAGTAAAATTTACTCTTGTTGGTGTACTGTTCTATGAGTTTTGAAAAGTCATGTAACCATCACCACAACCAAGATATAGAACAGTTCCATCACCCCCCTGTGCCCCTCTGTAGTCAAACCTTCCCCTTAACTCTAGACCGTGGCAGCCCTTGGCCTGCTTTCTGTCCCTGTATTTTTATCTTTTCCTGAAAGTCAGATAGATGGATCATATCACAAGTAGCCTTTTGAGTCTTCCTATTTTCCCTCAGCAAAATGTATTTGAGATTCATCCATGTTGCTGCATGTTATCGGTAGTTAATCCTTTCCATTGTTCCAGGTGCTTTTGATTTACCTCTGCCTATTGCAGTCCTAATATCAGAGTTTAATTTCATACCTCTTGGACAACTTGGTATTTCCTCCTGTTTCCCCCACGCCCATCACTTAGTCTCCTCACTTCCTGACTACTCCCCTGTCTCTCTCCTCCCCTCCACAGCCAAACTTTTTAAAGATTGTCTACCCTCCCTCCCTCTATTTCCTCACCTCCTACACCCTCGCTTCACAGCAATCTGGCCTCCACTCCTACCTCTTAAGTCAAACTGCTCTTGCCAAGAACACCTCCTTGTTGATAACACCCATGAGCACTTCTCCGTCTTCATCTAATTTGGCTTCTCACTGGGATTGGACAGTGATGACTATCTTCTCCTTCTTGGAACATTGTTTTTTCTTTGTTTTAAAAGCACTAAACTCTTCTAGGATTCTCCCTGCCTATTCAGTGTGCCCTCCACCTCACACGTGAGCTCCTCTCCCTTTGGCCACTTCTTAGGTGTTGGCACTGCTCAGGGGAGATCCTGCACCTTTCCTCTGCGCTGTAGGTTCTCTCTGAGCCATGCCAACCCTGGTAGATGATGACAGTGTATGCCTGAGCCTCTCTTCCTTATCTTTCACAGGAGCTTCAGACCAACTGCTACACCCCTTTGGGATCTTCTGAGAATCCTTAGACTAAATATTCTCAAAACTCATCCTCCCCACCCCACCCAGAACCAGATGCTTCTCTCTATCACCACCACCAACTACAAGCTAGAGACCTCAGGATTATCCTTGGTCATTCCTTTCCCTCATCCTCACTGTGAAATTGATTTCCAAGTTCTATTGATGCTGCATTTTAAATATCTCTAGAAATACTTCATTATTATAGTATTGACCCTCATCCAGCCTACCACTTTACCTTGCCTGATTTATTACAGTAACCTTTATTTCCAATTTTACTTGGAATCTCCATATAGCAACAAAAGCTATTGTCCAAAACACAGATATGAAGATATCATTCCCCCATCCAAAACATTCGAATGGCTTCTTTAGTGCCAAGTTCAAACTTTGTACCATGCCACATAAAGCCTGTCATGATATGAGCCTTGCTTAATTGTTCATTTATTTATTTATTTATTTATTCATTCATCACATTTGAGCATCCCCTTATGTGGCAGGCTCTGTGTTAGTTACTTGGGACCACTGAACAAACAGACCGGTATCTCTGCTCTCATGGAGATTACACAGGCTGTAATAAATGTTGGAAGTTGGTAAGTGCTGTAGAAAAATGAAGAGTAGAAAAGTTAGGGGAGATTGATAGAGATGGGGTAATGTGCAGCTTGTGATTTTTAATAAGGGAATCGGGATTGCTGCCGTTGAGAAAGTGACATTTGAGTAGAGCTTTGAAAGCAGCAAGGAAGTTAGCAATAAGGATATTTGGGGTAGGAGCATTGCAGGCAGAGGGCACAACTGGTGCAAAGACCCTAAGGTGGGAGCGTGCCTGGTGCATTTAAGAGCAGCAAGGAGGCCAGGGTGGCAGGGCAGAGTCAGCCAGAGGAAAGTAGTGCTAGATGAGACTAAAAGGGAACACTAGCAGGGGAAGCAGATTATATGGGATCATTTTAGGTCATTGTATGGACTTTGGCTTTACTTTCCAGAATATGGGGACCCACTGGAAATATGTGAGCAGAGGAATGACCATGCTAGGTTGATAGTAGACTAGGGGCAAGGATATAAGCAGAGACTAGTTAGCAGTCACTTGCTATTCCAACCTTAATTCTTGCCTCTCCCTTCCTCAAACCGCATCTTCTAGTCACACTAAATGTACTTCATTCCTCCCATGCGCCATGGTCTCCTCTATATGTCTTTCTGTTACTTCGGCCTAGCATGCCCCTTGCATTACCCCACCCCCTAATCTTTGCTCTGTTCACTTGACTCTTATTTTATGTAACAACCTAGATATCAGTGCCTCCAGGGAATCTTTGACCTTCCAAATCCAAGGTGGGGCCCCTCATTTGTTTCAATGACTCCTGCATTACTGTTGCAGCCCTTTTCATGCCAAACTATGGTTGCACATTTAAATCTCTGTCTCTCCCACTTGTCCAGAAGCTTCGCAAGGGTAGAGTTCATGCTTCCCGCATTCGTTCAATACTTGGATCTCGTGGGTGCTCCACTAACCGGTCCATTGCTAACCCTCCAGGTTTGTGAATGGCAGCCTCCTGAGCGACTGAAACAACTTCTTGATTTGGAGATGCGAGACACCGGAGAGCCGCACCATAGGCTGCTGGAGCTCTGCCAGGACGTCATACGCTTCAGTGTCAAAACCAGTAAGAATTTACCTCCTTGATCGGTACCTCCAACAAGTTCTTACATGTTCTTTAGCATGTATGTACCTCAGGGTAAAGCCGAGTATGACAGTGGTTATGGTTGGGAAACCTGGATCGAAACATGGTGGTTCTGATGTTCTTTAAATGCTCCATTTAACCCTTATTTCAGATTTGTTGTAAAGGCCAAAAATGAAATGATAGCAATACTGTTGGTGTTAGTGGCTACATATAAATATTATCCGCTCCTTGGCACTCCCCTTCCTCCATTTATAATCAGGACCCTATATTATGACTGCTGCTTATAGTTTCTTATATTGGTCCAAACTGGCCAATGGTACTTGGATTATAGAATTTGTAAGGGATTTTCCATCTGGGTGGCCTAGAATGTGCAAAAAAAACAAACATGTTCAAGAGTGTGTCTTTAATATAACTAGGAATATTGACTTGGAACATTTTTATTAACTCTGGGCAGTTGGTAATGACCAAATTATTTTATCAACTCTAGTAGGATCGAAAAAGGAAAAGCCTTTAGGAAGGTATAAAAAATGATACTGTACATGGTGAGTTTATGTTGTGATAGCTTCACAATAGTGCTTAACAACTGTGATCTTTGTAAATGCAGTAATGTGATATCAGTTTTGTGCTGAATACTACTCCAGCTGACTGTTAATATATACCCAGGGAACAAGTTCTAAAAGTAAGGAAATAATTTTCCAAAATATGCATTTCTCAGTGTGATGTAAAGGTAATCTAGTGCTTAAGACCATACAGGCATTATGCTGTGTGAATTCTGACACTAAACTAAATTTAGTGGAAGGAACATAATAAAATCCTGGCTAAAAATAATTGGTTTATGTTCCCTTGGGAAAGTCTGGTGTATGTATCAGAAACCCACTTAGCATTTCAAAAGCAGAGATACATATCTTATTATTATAGTGCATGTCAGAAGTGTAGAATGACATTGAATGCAGTAAATGTTTCAGTTTACTGGATATTTTCCATCATGTTACCATGGAAATCAATCATAAATTAACACAGAACTACAAAAAAAATCTTATTAAAAATTACTTGCAGCCATGTCTGATTTCCTTCGCCAGATTAGAAGAAGTTTTCCATGTTTTATTTTAAAAAGGCCTTTTCTTTTGATACTTTTGTTTTTCATTGAACCCCTAGTGGAAAGAGGAAAATAACCTAAAGCCAAATGCTGGAAGTTGTCATGAGAGGTCACCAACTGAAATGGTTTCCAAACACTCAGCGATGGAAATTGACCCCCTGCATCTCTGTTCTTGGTCATGCTGGGCTTCCTGTGACGGAGGATGTCAAGCCAGTTAGCCTGGTGTTTGGTGCAAATTTCACACTGTGTAGAGCCAAGGACCTTTACGAAGCCTTTTATAGGAGGGGGGAAATAGAAAGTTGGAACTGAAGTTGTTTGAGTCTTAAAGGCAACTTGCCTTTGCAAAAAGTTGAATCAGAAAGTTTATGCCAGATACACGATGAGTCATGCTCCATCTATATAATGCCAGTTGCATTATGAGAAATGGTCCAATCTGAAAAGTAAAAAGGCCGGTCATTGCCAACATCCTGTGGGCGAGAGAAATGCGTGTGAACTTTAAGAAACTGCCATCAATACCTTCAGAGGATCAAGGTCGCAGGCTTTGATGTTTGATACACATACAGAAGTGTTCAAATAACCCATTTCTTGAGGGTTTTGATTTGGGTCAGGGTTGTAGAAAGAAAGGAGCAGGCAAACCAAAAGTCATAAAAGATTCCTCAAGTTTCTCTCAGAAACATATTATTGTTCAGTAAAAAGCTCTAGGAGATAGGTCTTTAACATTTGTTTCCTTTGTACATGATTAAATTTTGAATGCTTTTTAAAAAATTGAGGTATAATTTGCTTTCAGTACAATGGACAAATCTTAAATTCTCAGATCGATGAATTTGTATATACGTGTATGGAAGTAACCATCACCCAGATAGAGATAAAAACCATTCTCAGCACTCCAGGGGCTCCTTGTGACCCCTTCTAATCAATATCCCCTTCCCAAAGGCACCCAGAATTCTAACTGCTGTCTCCATAGATCAGCCTTGCCTGATAGTGAGTCATATCAGTGGAATTATGCAGCATATACTCTTTCGTATCCAGCTGCTTTTATTGTCTAAAAGATTCACTTATGTTATTGCCGTACAGCATTGATAGTTTTTTCTTCTTTATTGTTGCGTAGATGAATACTCTGTTTACATTTACAGACCACCCGAGATTTTTCAACCAGCTGTATGCTGGCCTTGATTATTACTCCTTGGGGGCCCGATTTATGACGGAAGCGTTAAATCCAAGTGTGTAAGTATCATTAGACTGGACTTCTACACCAAACACGGATTAGAGGCGTTTCTCTAGGTAGATGAAATTTTACTTCATGAATTTCTAGTTAATGGTTTCTGTGAGCCTTTCCTTGTATATCCTGGGTTTTCTAACATCTCATCTGAGTTTTTTAACTGAAGTCTTTAGAGGTTTTTGAAGTATTGAATTTCTGCTCAGCTGAACAATCCATTCAGATGTCACCAAGCCACGAGAACATTCTATGTTGCCCTCCACCTCTAGGTCTATTCCTGGGTTTACAGTTGAGCTAGTTTTCAAAGACAAATTTAGTATTAATTTTTTTTCTTACAAGAAAATAAATGATTATTTCTCTTATATTTTAGGTATGCATAAACATATATACTTTCCCACCCACATTTTGATATGTATAAACTGGTTTCCTAGCATGGTTGAAAAGTAGAACCTAGATTGCTTGTAAAATGACATGTCTATAGAGTGGTTAGCACATAGGGAGATGATACATAGTAGTTGTCCTTTTATTTCCTTCTTCCCAAAGTTTTCCCTTCCAGATGTTAAAATAATTGTATTAAATTCTGTGACGATAAATCTGAATGTGTCTGTTTAGTTTACATAATTAGAGTCCATATATATTCAGATACAATTTAATGCAATCACTCAGTTGTTAGAGAAGGAGGTTATAGATATTTAGTCACCCTCAAGTTATTTGGAGAAAGAAGAGACTCAGACATTGAAAAACTAGGCATGGTTATATCCCAGGTTGTGTTCCTTGGGAAGCTGTTCTAGATGGAATTCAGTGAGCAAGCTGTTTATTAAGGAATATCCTTGGGATCAACATGGGTGACAGGAGGGGAAGGAGAGATAGGAGTCAAGCTGCCATGCAGGCTCAATGACAAGAGGCTGACCCCATGGAGATCTCTGGAGCTACAATGGCCCTTTAGATTGGTCTAGAGTTGGGCCCACATGGCCAGGCCTTTATACCTCCAGGTGGACCAATCATCAGGTATAGACCACCACAGGAAAGTGTTTGACTTTGGGGAAGGTGGCTCGCTGTAGCTAAGGAAGGGGTTAACTGAGCAATGCTCTCTGACTACAGTCTTCCAGTCTGAGGCAACAAATCCTTCATTTATAGGGGATCTGGGTTGTGCTTTGCAGTAAAATCACCCCATAATGAGAGAGGTCACATAGAGCACTTCACATTTGTACAAACACAGGAGTGTGATGGAGGAAGCTCTAATCCAGGATGGGTTGTTTCCATGTAGAATATCTAGAGCTGACTGTTAGGGTGCTCATGGTAATAACCTAATAAAACCTGGTTACCATGACAATGGTTTTTCTTTAGCCAGCATTCAGAGCATCATCCAAAGGGTAAAATGGCCACTGCTCATGACTAATGCAAAGAATCCAGATGCACTGCCTTCATCTCTCCTAACGGAATTGAAGCTTTTCTGTAAATTAAGACTGCTGCAGTAGCTTGCATATCCCTAAGGCCACCTGCTATTTATGTAACCATGACTAGCACCATCACTGACTACATATTTCTCTATGTCCAATGGATAAATTTCCAAAGTCTCTACCTACACTTCAACAGCCACTTGGTTTAATAAAACTCTGTGCATTTCTTGGGACAACAAAGGGATGGTTCGACTCTAGTCATAGAAGTGAAGTATTTTTTATATCTGTCTAGTTATACGTATGAGGTGTCCCCAGTGTTTCTGTTAGTGGAAGAAGCGGTTCTGAAGAAAATGATTGAATTTATTGGCTGGAAAGAAGGGGATGGAATATTTAACCCAGGTAAGTACAATTAGTTATTGCCATCTCTCTTCCAATGTGTTATATGAAAAGCAACTCCTTGAAGATTTGCACATCACAGAAAGTTGGATATTCATAATGCTACTTAGGGAGACTAGCTCATGCCTTCTCCAGAATGATAATATTTTACCTAAATGCTAAATAAATGACACAAGTGCTAAACTAATGAGCTACCTACAATTTAGGATTTATACCTGACACTAATGAATTTGCCTGCTGTTGGGAATCTGGAAGGGAAGGTTTTTAGGTTTTTAAATCAATTTTACCCGAGAAAGTTCCTAAATCACATTTTATTTATCCTACAATCCCCCCCTTTTTTTGAAGCAGAGATGGGCATGTATTGTCATTTTATTGATCAGATAACAGACAGATAAAATATTATTGACTATGGAGACTTACATACAGAGCTCATAGAATGAAACTTCAGCTGGGAAAATTCTGGAATGAGAGAATAGGCCCAAACTTCTCACTTTGCTGAGATTGGAAACTGCAGGAATTAGATTAGGAAGCGTGTAAGAGTCATGGGGTGGGCAGTGCGGTGTTCAGATGACTTTCCCAGCGATTTATCATTAGACCAGGGCAGCCACAGCCATTTATGCTTTCCACTGTCGTCGGCCCATAGGGAGCTATCACCTCGTGCTTTAAATATGCCATTTCAATTTTGTTTCTGCAGGTGGTTCAGTGTCCAATATGTACGCCATGAATTTAGCCAGATACAAATATTGTCCTGATATTAAGGAAAAGGGGCTGTCCGGGTTGCCAAGATTAATCCTTTTCACATCTGCAGAGGTAAACAATCATTTTGGATATGAGATATAGATTTTCTGAGAATGCATTATTTAGGAGGGCTTGTTTGTTTGTGGACTCCCGATGCGCTTTCATCTTCTCTGTGCGACTAACATGCCTACGTACGGCATCGTACTTCATTTCAAAAGAAATTCGGATGGGTGTGATATAGACCACCCAATTTGGTACATCACCTTTATTTAAAATTTATAGTCTGTAATATTTTCTTTAGGAAGAGAGAACATTTCATTTGAAAGTGCTATCTCTTTCTGTCTCTCTTCTTCGAGTATCTCATTTATTAGAACTCAGATGATTGATACTGATCTCAGCTGTGTCATCTACTCGCATTTCCTTATGAAATTGATTGCTAAGAATAACACAAGGACTTTTCAAGAAGAAAGGAATATATTCTGTAATAATGAACATCTCTCTCTCTCTCTCTCTCTCTCTCTCTCTCTCACACACACACACACACACACAATTGGATGTTGCCACGATCCCCTATCTCATTTCACTCTCCACTTAAATAGGGTTCTGATTGTGGATAGGTGCATTGGTTTTGAACTAGGCTGCCTGAATTCATTTTCTATTTCTACTACTTACTAGCTGAGTGATCTTGGGTAAGTTGATTAACTCCTCTGTGCCTTAGTTTCCTAGTTTGCAAAAAAAGAGCATATCAGTTAGCTCTTATATCTGACAAATTATCCCAAAACCCAGTGGCATAGAACTATATATATTATTGCTGACAAGGGTTGGGATATCTGGGCAGTTCATCTACTCTTGCTGGGCACCCTTACCTGTCTGGGGGTTGGCTGGCCAATGGCTGATCTAGGAGTGGCGTGGCTGGGACACTCCAGCAAGTCCTCTCTGCTCCATTGTCTCTCACCCTCCACCAGGCTAGTCTAGCTGTGTTCTCATGGCAATGGTACCAGGAAAAACACACAGCATGGAACCATACTGGCACTCTGGAGTCCTAGGCTCAGTCCTTGACATTTTGCCTTCATTTTCTTGGCAAGCTAGGTCAAGTGTAGGAACCCAGATCCAAGAAGTGAAAAAATGCTCTACTCCTTAAGGAGATTTGCTGCAAAGCCATCTGGCAAAGGGTATGGACACAGGGAGCAGTGAACAATTTGGGCCATTAAAGCAACGCAACAACCACATGAGCTTAGTGGTCACCAGTTAGAGGGTTGTTGCAAAGATTGAATAAATCAGTGCATGTAAAGTAGCGTCTGGCACATAAAAGACAGACAAAAATATTATCTCTTATTATTAGTGGGAGGAGAATGATCCAGCTATAATCATGTGGATAGAATAGATAGACTATCTGGAAAATATTCTTTTTTACTTTTCTATTTTTGTGTGATTCCAGTGGGTACCTCTGTCCATTCCACCGCTGTGTCTTCCCCACGCCCCTGGCAGGAAGAGCGTCCCTTCTGTCCCTTCTGCACTAATCCTCGGTCTCCTGTCCAACACATGAGGTGGCAAAATCTGAAAATTCCCTGTTATTGCCAGCTGGGCTTTCCTGTATCTGTTACTTTCCCTCAAGAGCAAAAGCTACTTTATTATTGCAAAGGACAGATCGTACAAAGAAGTACGCAGGGGAAGAAAACCTGGCCACCCCCACATTTTCCTCCTGTCCTGTCTGACATTTGCTCTGGTTAGTTCAGCGCTAAGTGCAAAGTGGGCTTTGGGTGTTGGGAAGAACCTGGAAGGAATAATCTAGTCTGCGATTCTTCACTCACCACCCCAAGGAACTTCTTCATGAGACATAGTTTCTATAGCAAGAGAAGAATACTTGAGAAGATGGACATCTGGGAAAAATACTTGGTTATTTGGGATTATTATGGAGTAGAGCTTTCCTCTGTGGGTTCCAACCCTTGGCGTTTCAGTTTGAGGAACCCTCGCATACCAGAAATGCAAAGTCTCTCCTGCATTTGAATTTCTGTTTCCATGCCTAGGAGAGCTGGTTAAATAAGGCCCCTACTACCAGCTCAGTGCTTTTACTTTTGCCTTTTTTCCCCTTCTTCATTTGATTTAAAATTTGCTAAAGCCTTTTTTTTGAATAATTGCCCTGGAAAGGGGGAAGAAATTCTATAAAAGCCTGGAATAAAGATTATGCATAGGAAAGATCAGTAACACAGGTGTAGTTAGTGATTCAGGTTGCTGTAACAAAACATCATGGATGGAGTGGCTGACATTTATTTCCCACAATTCTAGAGGCTGGAAGTCCAAGGACAAGTTGCTGATAGATTCAGTGTCCGGGGAGAACCCATGTCCTGGCTCGTAGACCTCTGTGGGCTCACATGCTCTTTCCTCTGTCCGTGCTGTGGACAGAGTAAGATCTCTCTGTGTCCTTCTTNCTGACATTTATTTCCCACAATTCTAGAGGCTGGAAGTCCAAGGACAAGTTGCTGATAGATTCAGTGTCCGGGGAGAACCCATGTCCTGGCTCGTAGACCTCTGTGGGCTCACATGCTCTTTCCTCTGTCCGTGCTGTGGACAGAGTAAGATCTCTCTGTGTCCCTCTTCTTATAAGGACACTAATCTCACCCTCATGACCTAATCTTAACTGATACCGTCACACTGGGGGTTTACCCACTTGAGTTTTGACGTAACAATGTGAATCCCACAGAAAAATTCCGTAACTTCAAACACACTATAGCCCTACCCNTCTTATAAGGACACTAATCTCACCCTCATGACCTAATCTTAACTGATACCATCACACTGGGGGTTTACCCACTTGAGTTTGACGTAACAATGTGAATCCCACAGAAAAATTCCATAACTTCGAACACACTATAGCCCTACCCATATATATATAGGGTGTCCCCAAAAATGTATACACACACTTTGAATAGTTATAAAGGCTCTGTTTATTGAAATACATTTCATTTTCAAAGCACCCTGGGTTTTCACCCCACCCATCCAGACTCCACTTTGTAGCTCATTCTTTTACCTGCTCTGCTAAAGAGACGCAGGTCATAGCATTTGCATTATTTTAATTCATATTTCATGGCCATCTTCACCATTTATTACAGCAAATCAATTCATTAAGCACTAATGTTCATCTATTTTGCACCACCTCCCCTGTGGCCCTGTGGTTACTTTCCTGTATTGCTTGTTAGGTTGCCCGCCTTTCCCAGTTTTTAGGCTGCCCCAGATTAACCAGGGTAGTTACTGCACCTCTGCCTTGGACCATCAAATGCAGAAGATATGTACCCACCACTGAAGGCGTTTTTGCATACTTCAGGTCCTGACTGTAATTCAGCTGTTGAAGGAGACCTAGAAGGTCACGGCAGAGACCCCTGTACTGTCAACATATCCAAGGTAGCCTCTCCGCACTAAATAGGAACCAAAGAGGAGGGAAAGTAATAACTGTGTGGCTTGATTAGCAGTTAAATATGAATTCCTTGAATTTCTAGAAATCTTGGGTTGGCAATTCAAATTTGGAGAATTTGGATTTGGAGAATTAACATAAAATAGTGCTCATTTGCCACTACAAAGTGAGGGAAGAAAAGGAACTCTTTTTGCTCCCAGGCCAGCGATCAATTGTGCTAGTTCCTCTGTAGCAGGATGGAGGCTGGGGTGAGGCGAGTGAGACGCTGGGGTACCTGTCTCAGGGCCGTGCGCCTCAGCTTGGCACCCGAGGTGCCTCATGCACTCCCCCTCTTCCCGGCCCTGCTTCTTAGGCAAGACTGACCCGGGTCTGGGTGCTCTTGCGGGTGTTCTCCAGGGGCACGCGGGCGCCCAGGCTGCCGTGCAGGGCACAGAGCGGTCCACCTGGCCTCCGGCCCTGCTGCTTTAGGAGCTGAACCAGCTGAGTGCTCTCAGAGCAATGCTCCCTGTCTCCCGCCCCTAACATCCCACAGTCACAGACCGCGCTCCCCGCCACCCAGAGCCAATTTGAGCATCACACGAGCAGCACTAGAAGGAGTCCCAGCGTCCAGAACACCACCTACGGGTGGAGGGAAAGCAGTGGTTCATTGAGAAATCCAAGGTCACAGGGAAAAATCCTTGCTGGAACCAGAAAGGAGAGCTTCAGTGCAATCTGTCTTTCATGTAGGCACCGGCTGTTTCAACTTTATAGAAGCGAACACCCGCTGAGAGTTTTGCGTCTTCTGTAGACAGACGAAACCTGGGGGGAGACGGGGCCTGAGAACAGCTGACTTATCTCGTGCCAGCGAGGGGAGCAGCCACTGTGTGTCTCTAAATGCAGCTGTTACTTCTGAACGCCAGCCTCCTAGGTTTCCCTTTCTTTGCAACTACCCACCGCGTCTGAAGCATCACCCTCTCTCTTTTTGCCCCTTCCGGGGCTCTTTTCCTCCTCTGATGCTTTCAGATGTTTAGACTTCAGCTTTGCAGACCGTTTCTAATCTGTCCCTCTGCGTTTGAGATTGACATTGGGCTATCCTTTGCCTCGAGGTACCTAAAGATAGCTCCATGGAGGATATTCTTATTCTGATCGCCAGTGTTTTATGCAGCAGATTTATTGGTTGGGGATATTTTGTTATTTCTAAGGGCAAAACAGTGTGGTTTTTCTTACTGGCAGATGTCAGTGGGGGAGGCTACTATTTGTCACTATGAAATCAATCGCTGTTTGGTTGCCGGGGCCCCAGATGAGAATTAATTGGCCTTAGCTTTGTCATCTTAGCTATGGTGGGCTGATGTAGCAGGTAGAGAAAAAATTACGTTTTCATGTGCATCATTACTCCTCAATATGCATATGTTCTTGCAACCACCTGAAATGAATGCATCCTACAGGCATTTGGGGCAGGTTCTATTTGACATTTGGAAATTAATTACTTAGGATGGTTCCATTTTTCCTGATGATGTTACTTCTGCATTTATTTTTACAGAGTTTTTTTTAAAAAAGAGCTTGCAATAAAACTCTCTTGACAAAAGAAGAAAAAAAATTAGCACATTTGAGGGAATGTATCAAGTTAAGTGTGAAGGCATGACTACTCTTTTAATGTATTCATACCTACAAATTAAATTACCGAGGCTTTTTTTGGTACAATAATGTCCTTTAGCACCTTCATTTTTCTGGCATGAAAAAGAATTAATTGACCACCTGTCCACACTAATGTATAAAGACTGACATCTCCAATGTTTGAATGCTAATTATTTTATGGGCTTTATGTAGTAGGGGGAAAAGTGCAATAATCTAGAGCATATACTACTATTTCCAATAAGAAATAGATGAGACCTAATTCCAGAGCCATTAGCCTCATTCCTGCCAGGGCTGCACAACGTAATGTGTCCATAAATTATTATTACCTTTGTTATTATGATTTAGCCACACTCCAGTGTGCCTAACTTCAGTCTTACATTCAATATTAAACAAGATTGGTCAAGTGTCAAATCAGCATTTATAATCCATTGTTTGCTCTTGAAAATAATGAAATTCTTCTGTGATCTGCGATTATAACTTTTGAGACAGAGTCTTGCCCACTCCTTAGAGGGTTTTGAGTCAGCAGTAGGCTAGATTCTCTTTTCATTAATACTGAGTCTTATGAGTAGCATAAAGAAGAACTTTTCTCAGTGTTATGGGAAGCAGTAGCCTCCAGCCCCTAGGTTTGTTCCATATGCCAGGCTCTGTGCTAAGCCCTTTACATATATTAGCCCATTGAATTCTGTGACAAAAATGGAGTAGGCATCGACATACCCACTTCATAGATCAGCAAATTGAGACTTAGAGAGTGTACATTATTTCTTCAAGTTTCCATAGCTGTAACTGGGAAAACTTAAAATTAAATCCTGCTTTCCTCTGACTCCAGCCAAAGTCAGTGTTCTCAACCACTACAATTAGGAGCTCAGTTAAATTACTACTCTTTTTTTCTTTTATGCAATAACGTTTTAAAGACTGGGCTCAGCCATATAACTTACGCCCATTTTGATAACAAGCAACAGTGTTTTCATGCTGCATACTCATGTCTCTTCCTTCCCCTTTGCCCCTTTTAATTCAGTGTCATTACTCCATGAAGAAGGCAGCCTCCTTTCTTGGGATTGGTACAGAGAATATTTGCTTTGTGGAAACAGATGGAAGGTAATGGGGACAAGATTCGGTAGGTTGGTGGGCGGAGGGGGAAATTCATACTTTTAAAAAAGCAGCACCAATGTGTGTTCACAGCTAAACATAACCGACGTTTCAAATCTGTGTCTCTTAGAGGTAAGATGATACCTGAGGAACTGGAGAAGCAAATCGTGCAAGCCCGAAAAAAGGTGAGTGGGGAGAAAGAAAAAGAGGGAAAGAAAACATATGCATGGATCTTGGTGTGAGGGGGAGAGTGCCAGGGAAGGAGCGCAAGCAGTCAGGCCCATTTCTGTGTGTGGGACAGAAAAGACAGCAAGCTAGACTTAAAATAGGGTAACTTATTTATAGACGCTCTATTTCCAGGTGCTTGGCTTTTCATGTTCTGTGCAGTTTCTTGGATGTTCTCATTCCAGGTGGCCAGAGCCTGTTAAAACATGACATCACCCTATTCAGGATTCATGCCTAGAATGATCCTTAAAAGATGACCGCAGCCTGTCTAGCAGGGCCCCCCGCAGCCACTCTCCTACAAAACTGAGAATTCTGCAGGCCAAACCAGTGGTCTCTGGTTGCATTCAGAACCATTCCTGGCTTTTTGATCAACCCACCCGCCCAGGTTACTTCCCCCCAAAGCCCATTCATAACCATCACCCTGTATTGGGTCTGGGACTAATATTTCAACTCTGGCAGAATGTTCTCTCTTTCTCAGCTGCCAGGATGTATTAAAGGTGACCTGTCTGCTGCTGAGGAAAGCCAGGCTTGACCATGGTCACCTGCTATACTTTAGCTAGGGCTGACCCTGACCATGGTCACCTGCTATACTTTAGCTAGGGCTGACCCTGACCATGGCCACCTGCTATACTTTAGCTAGGGCTGACCCTGACCATGGTCACCTGCAATACTTTAGCTAGGGCTGACCCTGACCATGGTCACCTGCTATACTTTAGCTAGGGCTGACCCTGACCATGGTCACCTGCAATACTTTAGCTAGGGCTGACCCTGACCATGGCCACCTGCAATACTTTAGCTAGGGCTGACCCTGACCATGGCCACCTGCAGTACTTTAGCTAGGGCTGACCCTGACCATGGTCACCTGCTATACTTTAGCTAGGGCTGACCCTGACACCTGCTTTTTAGGTGTGTCGCCGTGTTGGTGCCAGCAGTCTTGCTTCTTGGACTGAACACCTGCTGGCTTAGGTGCACCTACTTCTTTATTGCTTCCCTCCCATCCCACCACAGTCCTCATTGCTAACGGAGCTCCAGACTATTCTCCTGTAACTTTCCAATAGGTAGCAACAAAGTCAGGTGCGACTGCTGAGAAATGGAAAGCCCAGCTTCCGAGCTGGGATGTAAGTATCTCTTTCCTCATAGGATTTCACATTCTAAGAAAAGATGGGTTATTTTTTTTTAGTTTTGATATTATATTTCTGTTATTTTACTCTTCATATTTAATTTTTTAAAATAAAAAATCACCTTACCAGAGCATGCTAGGTTATTGTATTTGGTTTAAAAATCTGTACTTAAAATGTTTGCCTTTATTGAAGATGTATTGGCTTCTGGTGTGTCCTTAGATCTACATTTGTCTTATTTTTTAAAAAACATTCCAATGACAAGTGGACTTGAAGTTGTCTGGTGGTAGAGATGATTAGATTTCTTTGACTTGGGTAAAATTCTAGATTACAATCTGCTTATTCTGCTGTGAACTGCAGCTATTGAATCCTAGTTCTATAATTTTTTAATCTAGCTTTATCTTTTTCTACAGAAGTTGCTATCAAAAAGAACTTCCTTAATGTCATTAATACTTGTTGGTGGGGAATATTGATTGTGCCTTTTGTACGGTTGATATGATTCATTCATTCATTCCTCTCCCCCTCCCCTCTCTTTTCCCTTCCTCCCTTCCTCCTTCCCTCCCTCCTACTTTCCCTTCCTTCCTTGAATTTTGAACTTTTTATTATAGAAAATATCAAATAAATACAAAACTAATATAATGAGCATCCGTATACCCATTATTCAGTTTCAACAATCATTAGCTCATGCTCCATTCTGTTTCATCTATACCCCATCCCCTCCCACCACCACCTGATTAGTTTGAAACAACTCCCACTCACATCATTTGACATATAAACCTTTCAGTATATCTATAAAAGATACATCCTCTCTTTAAAAAAAAAAAAAAAAAGTAATACCATTACAAGAAATAACTTCTTAGTATCATCAAATATCCACTCTATATTAAAATTTCTCCCATTCCCTCTTTTAAATAGTTGGTTTATTTGAATAAGGATTCTGTGTTGCATTTGATTAATTCATAATGCAAATCTCATCTAATCTATAGCTTCCCCTTCCTCTTTTTTTTTTTACACCTGCAATTGATCTGTTGAAGAAACCAAATCCCTTAGCATGGTAGTTTTCCACACTATGAATTTTGTAGATCACATCACAAATTTGAGACTCTTAAGTGCTCCCCTCCTCTGCACCACCCATCTGTTCTCTATATTTCTTTTAATTTGGCAGTTAGATCTTGAGACTTGGTGAGATTCAGGTTGGAAATTCTGCCAGGAATTATTCATGGGCAAGTCCTATCCTTCCATCAGGAGGCATCTCGTGCCTCTTTCTGTGATCACATTGATTGGTGGGTCCTGGTATTGCCAGCCCACCCGTCATAGAGCTCGGCATCCGCCTCACCTCATGGATTTTCCTGCCACCGATGATCCTTGTCTGGATCCATAGTTTCATTAGGCGATGTTCTAATTTATTCTCTCATTCCTCCTTCATTTATTGGCAGGCATACTACTATAAAGAAAAATTTCCCTCTTCCCTATATGGTTTCCCTAAGGAAACAGTTTTCACAGGCAAGGCAGGATAGCTGTTTTCTTCTTTCCCCTTATTTACTAATTTTCAGACTTTTGAGTCAGTTGCCTAGCATCCCCTAAAGATAGTCAAATCTTTTTTTAGTATCACTAAGAACTAATGTTCCAGCATATTCGATGGGTTTTGTCCCACTACAATTATATGATTTTCATTGTATAAATTTTGGTTTGCTTTCACAATTAAAGTGCATGAAACTGACATAGTCTAACGCTGAGAACCTGAAAAGAGAAGTTTTTCAAACATAGAAATTGCTTTAGGCGCATTTAAAAGCAGAGCAGTGGGGTGAGAGTTGGTTTGTCTCCTCGGTTTTCTTTCAAGTCGGCTACGGCTGGAGCCTCGATTCACCAAGGACAAGCCTCGCATCCGTTCTGAGATAATGACACCCGGCCACCAGTTTCTTTTTCTCAGTAGCGTCAGGCCTAGTTGTTGTGTTTCAAGCTTTTAACTTGGATTGTTTCAGATGTAGGAAATAGTGCTGCCACTTTTTTTTCTGTTGGGATTCAATTCCCTGGCCAGCCACAATCCCTTAAAAATCTGTTGAGCAGCGACCTTTACTTGATGTTGAAAACCACAGAGGCAGCCGAGGCTCTGAAGTGCTTCTGGGGAGAGAAAAACAGTGTAACCGCTGAATATTTGGGAGCATTTTTGCCTGTGACTTTCGAAATGACAAACTTTCTTAGGGAAAGCAGCTCATTGTCAGCACACCATCAGTGCCGTTTCCACTGAATTTTCTTATTCATCACCTGAGATGTGTGAAAGGAAGAATCTGGAGGGTTCAATTCAGACGGCAAAAGTTTAATTTCAGGGACTGATATTTATAGCTGGAATGCTTCAAAGGTGAGGAAAAGTCATTAATACGCTATGATAGCTCGCATAGGTGTTTTCTCACCTCTGTCAGGAAGTCATATAGTTTATGAGGAAAATCTGAAGTGTTAAAGACACTGTAAATGGTTTTAGTAAATTACTTTTTTTTATTGCTTTTAATGACTGATATAAACCTGGTCCCATTTCCTTTGGGTCACTGACATGACAGAGATGTGATCTGTTGATAGCTGAGGGCAGGGAAGAGTTCTCGAAGCCCGTGGTTCCCCCCAGAGACGCTGTCACCTACTGGCCCCACTCTAAGAAGTTTGGGTGGATTAGGTTACAAGGGTCACAACAGTCCGCCTAAGTGGCACTATGGATTCATTGTGCACCATCACTTTGCTGCTTAGGCATCTCAATTTTGAGATGTGGACCAAGTGTCCTTGTTCTGCCCCGCTTTCCATTGAGAAAGAATGTTTCTGTCAGTGGTCAGCTACATTGGAGTGAGTCTGGTTCAAGTGACACAATTCCTGACAGTAAAATGGGACATAAACATATTTTGTAAGAATAACTGCAGTTCAAGATAAAACTGAGGGGGAAAATGACTCCATCCTAAATGGAGGTAAGAATGAATTTAATGGGCAGTAAGCATTCTTGGCACTTATTCCTCAGGTGCTCTAGAACCTTAGGCTGCTCGTTGCCCCCCCCCACCTTTGTCTGAAAAATCTCCCTCCAGTAACACATCCCTGAGACATGCTGGGATGGATCTCTCAGAAACAACCTCATGGAGTGTCCTCTACCTAGTCCCCACCAGGTCCCCCATGGGGCCAAGGTGCTGGCTGGGTGGCTGGAATTACCATTCCTCTCTGCATGTGTCCCATGTCCTCCTGCCCCATGAACCTTCCCAAGGAGTTGGGGATCATACCCAATGCCAGTTTGCCCATGCGGACGAGGTTATTTACTTTCGATCTGGGAAAGCTAAGAGCAAAAAATGCTGTAGAAAGAAATGAGACTAAAAATACTGAGTTGGGACCAAGGACTACTATTGCCATAGCATTTCCCCAGTTTCTTTAACTTACTTACAATACAAGGCTATATGTGGAAAAGTTTAGAAACAGTCACTGAATTAATGATCATCTCCAAAAGAACCAAATACATGTCTGGATATATTATAACCTTTATAATTTACCACCTTAGTACAGGACACATTTAGAGGTGGTGGTGACAATTCTCATGTGTGGGTCCTTTCCGCAGGGAGCAGCACCATTTCTGGTCTGTGCCACCTCGGGCACAACTGTGTTGGGCGCGTTTGACCCTCTGGATGAAATAGCGGATGTCTGTGAGAGGCACGGCCTCTGGCTTCACGTGGATGTAAGTTCATCTCTCTGTACACATCTGTTTAACTTGCTAGTCTTTTTGCAGCTTTGGTGGGCAATTTTTCCTATTCTCAGAAACTAGACGTGAGGTCCCCAACTACTTTTACTTAAATTTCTAATTAAGATAAATAACCATATCTTTTTGTGTAAGGTATAAAGAGGACTATTCTAAGACTTGCTGTAAATTTGGTTTCAGTTTTCTGGATTCCATGTTATTTCTTCTTCTTCATGAACCATTTTCTTTGGTCCCTTGAATCTACTGTCATTGAGGCAGCATGGGGAAAGGGACACATTTTGGACTATGGAGTCAAGAGACTTTGGATTCGAATTCGCCTCTCATTTCACTGTGACCTCAGTCCTCTGGGCTTTGGTTTCTTTTGTAAAGAGGGAAATGGCTGATGTGGGCTGTAAAGTATCTTCTAGCTTTAAAATTATATGATACCAGTCGGCCAGAAAATGTGAAACGTTGCACTATGTAATTTCATGCTCTAATTAAAGCAGGTTTTTCTCTAGATCTGTTATAGATAATTATTTGAGAGGGACTGGGATGACTTACATTTTTCATAACTTGTTCACTTAAAGGATTGGATTTTTTTTCTAATTAAATTTGTAAGTCCTGGGGTTGTTTATAATAAATTTTTTCTTAATTAAAGGTAACTCTTAAAGTTCTGTTTATCTAGCATTAAAAGGTTGAAGTCAGCCAGTCATAAATGCTTGTTGAGCATTTTGTTTTATTTTGTGTGTGTGTGTGAAATCAGGAGTTAATTACTTCAACAGCCCAATAGAAGGGACTGTTGAACATGCCAGTGAAACTTTAGGGAACTTTCCACTGGTGAGTGAGCGGTTCACAGCCTCTTTATCAGAAAAAAAGGAGACTAATTTTGACTTGCTGAATGGAAGGTAACTGAGCACTGGGAAGACATAGCTATGCAGCATTTTACAGTTGGCATGATTTTGTGCTTTCAAAGTAAAGCATCTATGATATGATATAGAGAGATTTTTCAGCAACTCAAGGCTTTCATGAAATGTATGCTAATATACGGTAAAAGCAGCAGTAACATAAACTCGCCGGAGTTATAGGCTCTGTTAGAATGGCGATGGCAATATTTCAGGGAGATTATTTGTGAGTTCTGTAAATGGAATTGTGAGACTTGTACCTGTTTATGTTTCAACTTATATCTTATTGATTTTTATAGACTTGGAAGCATAATCATACATTATGTCCTAAAAGATAATATGAAGTGAGTACTTCTGTAACTGTGGAAATAAGGGAAAAAAGTAAAATACATCAGCATTTATACTTGAAAATTCTACTCTCATAAAAAACATCAAATATGGATTAGATAGTTTAGTTTATATAAAACAGTAACTACAGCAATTTCTAGATTGGAAATGATATTAAGAGATTTATGGGGCTTAGAAAGAACTGTGATTTATAAGTATGAATAAAAACCTCTCTAGGTTTTTCTGAAAATTAAAGGTTGAATTTTGGAAGGAAGCACTTCTAAAAGGAAATATGTTAGCCACACAAGTTATTCTTTTTACATGTAATGAATGCCTTGTAGTATTAGATTAAATTGGACAACAGTTTATCTGACCTATTAAAGAAATTAGCTCTAACATAGAAACAGTGCTCACCCATTTTTAAAATATTGCAGGCATCGAACATGTTAATAAAATTTCATACAGAAACATGCAGCTCTTCTACCTTTTTGTACCATGCACAGTGTATTAATTTTAGAGGTAAAAAATTAACAAAATGGCCATAATTATTTTGACCTATTGGAAATTTTCTAAAGGATGTTTTAAAGATACTTTAAATTATTAAAAACTGGTGTTTACTTTCTTTTAAAAAAATGTAATTCTGATTGCTTATTATTCTGGGTGTGTTTGTTTTTTTTAAAAAACCAAATTGCCCTTCATATAGACCACAGTTTATTAATTCTAAGATACACCTTTTTAAAAACATTTTTAACATGTTTGAAATTGGTATGTTAATATCATTTTTTTCTTTATTAGTGATAACCCAAAATGGTGACTCTTACATTTGTTAGTGTCTTAAACATGGTAAATCGCAGTGCATTAATCAACAATTGAGTAAGAAACTCTAGCCTTGTTGGAATTTTTTGCTCCGATCCTGTTCTTCTGTGAGAGCAAATCGTTGCTCCAGCCTCTGCCTCCGACCAGGATGTCAGGGCCGGTCCAGCTCCCCTCGGAAGCAGGGGCTGTGGGTGCTGTAGAGCCTCAGGCTCCCAGCAGAGCTCGGGAGGCCTCTCACCCACTCTTCACTCCAAGCCCAGGGGCGTAGTAAGTGTTAGGTTTGAAATCATGGGCTTTAAATGCTGCTGGATCTCAATTCCATCCCTGCCTCCGCCTCCTTTCAGGATTGGCCCTACTGTTCATTAATTACCTAAGTAATTAAAGAAACCATGTAAGGAAAATGCTAACTGTGGTGCCTAACATATAGGAATAGCCCAATAAATGATGGTCCTTATAGAGATGGAAAACCAAGCTCCATCATGTAAGTGATATTTTTGCAGGTGTTGGGGTTAGAATTTAGAACATTAAGCAGACAGAAGGAGGGCATAACATTGAGGCTGTTGTTCTTAAACTTTCAGCTTTTTTGAGGAATAGCTTGTGGATGAGTGTTCCTAACCCTGCCAAACCACTCTGTAAACCAGTGAACTGACGATGCCTTGACAGGACGCATGTGATTCGAAACTTCAATCCAGCGCACTATGATTGGTTGAATATCGTTTACTTTGCGGGGAGAAGAGTGGGCAGAAGGTAGTGTAGAGGACGGAGGAGTGCAAGTGAAGTCGGTGAGGCAGGTGGGAATGGAAGGCAGCAAATGGGTGTGTCGGAGCCTTACTGGTTAATCCCTCCCCTAATCGTCACTGGTAGGTTCTCAATGAAGTTGGGGATAAAAGGGTTGAGAAAAGTAGGCAACTCAGTGTTCAGGGTGTGTAATGGAAGAAAACACAGTATGTAAGTCATCTTAATGTTGGTGAAGGTCGAGATCGCAGGGGATCCTCAGTTAGTAAGTATCCCAAGACAAGGTTTTCCTGGCGCTGAAGGCAGTCGCCTCTGTACCTCAGCCTTAGCAGACACGGTGCATCGGGAATGCCAGTGGGGAAGAGAGCAGCAGGAAGGGACTTGACTGACAACCCCAAGTCATCAGTCCTGCAAATGGGAATCTGGAGATTTGCATACATGCCACCTTCGGCCCACAAACCTTTGGGAACCCCATGGGGTTATTGGAGACTCTAGTCCATGCAAGCGGGGCTGGAATTAAAGTAACACAAGGGAAGTTTCTAGGACTCAAATTAAGAAGGGATTCATTCTTAGGGCCATGCAAGGGCCCAACTCTGAGAGTGTGTGCCTTCTTAAATTGTGCACCTTAGGTGACACACTCACTGTGGGATTTAAGGCCATCACTTATTGTTGACCAATGGCCTCAGCTTTTGCGATACTCTGAGGATCATGGAGATGTCTCATTTCTCTCACCTTCCACATCTGTGGTACACACAATCTTGCCACTCCTTTCTACATGATATTGGGTATTCCTTATCTTTTTAAAATTCTATAGCCTGAAATAGGATAGTCTACATCCTAGGCGGTTACTAAACTCTCCTCCTGCCTATAGTACTTCCATCACCCTCAATTATCCACACTGCACTCTGCCATTTGGCCAACTGGTCACCTTCCCTAAGTTATGATGCTATTGTGAAGAAAGAATGAGTTTTGGCTCCCAGATCTGGTTTTTATTACCTGCGAGACCTTGGGCAGTTTACCTACCACCTCTGAACCTTAGTTTTTTCTTTTTAAAAATTGAAGTGATAATAATTCCATTCTCAGTGCAATGCTGTGCAGTATAAATAGCCTTGGAGAGCATTCAACATAGCCCAAGACGGTCCCCTCATATTTCCTCACTGCAATCGCCCTTCACTGCCCTGCAAATTAAACTTAGAAGTTTGCTCAATTTCAAGAACCAAACTGACTCTCTTATTTCTAACATTGATTCTTCCTCCCTCCTGTCTAGGCTTATTGACGATGGGATTTCCTTTCATCTCCTTACTCTCAGCTCCCCTCTCCTTTGCTCATATTTACCTTTCCAATGAATAAATTCCTTAAGTCCCACTCTTACATTTTTTATTTGCAAATATACCTGAAAGCTATTTGGCTGAAAGATCTAATTTTTCAGTAATAGGATCCATTTCCCCCTGGCTGAAGCTAGTTGGCTATGAATTCCTATATTCCCTTCTGTCCACCTTGTCAAGCACGTGCCTCATTTATCATACAGAATGCCAGCCCTTAGTCCCTAATCATTATCAGCATTTGCACCTTGTGTATGGTAGGATCTTGGGGTTGTAAGGATATGGTCTATTTCAGATTCTAAGATTCGAGAAGATATAGACTGTCTTTTAAACCTTTTCAATCACGCATAGCTCAACAGGTTATTATAACAGTTTCTTCATGACATGCGAATTTAAATTTTAAGGGTCAGTGGGGGCCATCTGTTGTGATGAGGCTCTGATTGCCTGAGCAGAGCCAGTGATCAGTCTCTCCTGGAGTACAAAGTGGTTAACATCGACTCAAAACAAAGTAGCAAGGCAGGTTGAGGTTGTCACTCAGGGCTTTTTATGACAGTTGGCTGGTAAACAATAACGCTGAAATGACATTGTTTTGATTATATCAATTTCTCAACAGGCTTCTTGGGGTGGCTCAGCTTTGATGTCAAGGAAGCACCGCAGGCTTCTGCAGGGCATCCACAGGTAAATGTAGTTCCCCAGACTCAGCGTGTTTTATTGAGACATGGGAATCTCTTTGGACTTTGACCACTTAAGTGACATTCTGAAAACAGACAAAGAAACAAAGTAGTTGCTTTACTGGAAGAAAAAAACAAGCCAAAACTCCAAACTCCCTAGACTACGCACACAAGGAATCCCTTTGAGCACTACCTCGGGCATGAGTACTGAATGTGTGTGCTGCTGATGGTGGTATCTTTCCTCCAGAAGCAACTGATGGGGCCCCTCCCTTCCTTGTCCTGTTGTTTTTTCTACCTAACAGAGCTGATTCTGTGGCCTGGAACCCCCACAAGATGCTGATGGCAGGAATTCAGTGCTGCGCTCTCCTTGTGAAAGACAAATCCGTGAGTTTTTCTCTGATGGCCTTTGGGCACTAAGAGGGGTTCAATGAAGGGGTTTGCAGATCTATTTTTGCTTATATTTTGGTGCTTTGGGCCAGATATAGGTAAAAGTCTTTGGTAAATGTTGATGCATCAAAGGAAAGATAAATAGACTCAGTTGTAAAAGGTAAGGTTTCTGCTCAGGTAATTTTATAGATTTGATTTAGGTATTATGTAATCTCATTAGTTACAGCATAATGGTCTCTCTCGCTCTCATTTGGCTTATATTTAAAAATCAGTTTTAAACACTGCCAAGAATTTTTTCTCCTTGATTAAGCCTGGGATTTAAGTTATCTTGAAACTTCTGCTCGCTGAGAAAGTGGAACAGATGTGTGTCATACATTAAATTGAATGCTTAATATGCGTAGCTGGGGCTTAACAGCCCGTTTATACGGGAAGATGTTATTTCAGGGCCGATCATCGAGCACTGATTTATTAGAGGGTTGACTGTCTCAAGTGGCTGGTGCTCAGCTTCCTTTGGAATATTGGGGAGAGTTGAAAACTGGTCCAGATTACTGTGGGACAAGTGGGAAAAGAATTGCTGGGGCTCTTCTTGGCTAGAGGTACAGACCTTGTTTTCTGTAGGTTAAATAAGGATCCTTGTGGGAAGTGGCCCAGGCTGGGAAGTGCCACTTCATTCTTAGAAATGCCTCCTCAAGATCTGTGTGCAGCATGTGGGTGATCTTTCTCAGCCATCTGTTTACATTTTTTTCTCAGGGGACTCCCTTTGCCAATGCTAAAGTCATTTTCTCTTTTAAAAGAATTTTATTTCAAATGAAAACCATATTTAAAATTTGAAACCTAGTCTTGCCTGTGTGGATAGTCACACCTCTCTTTAAAGAAAAAACTGTGCTATTTGTATGTCAGTGACCCATTGTGTTTTGAGATGACCAAACAGAAGAATGTCCATCAGAAACTAAGAACAGATTCTGCATCTGTAGATAAAGATACTTTTGGGAACACGAATCTATTCCTTAATGTTTTATTAGGCTGGCTACTGTTGACTATATTCAATTCCATTTAACTATTTTTCATTTAAGCTTTTAAATTGTACAGTGACGACTGCATGTTATAACTGAAAGATAGTTTAAGATTATTATATTATTTATGAACCAAGAACATATTCAACTTGCCCATAGTTACATATTTAGGATGTGACAGAGTTTAGGAGTAAGCCCAGGTTTTCCTTTGGTCTAGATATAAGAAGGAAAATATATCAAGCATCCTTTATGTGCCAGGCATTTTCTCTCTGCTTTCTCCCCAACAAGCCAATCTGAATGACGTTCTCATCTGTCAGTGCACTGCTCTCAGGAGTAGAAAATTTAGGCCCCAAATTTTATGACTACTCTTTTAAATAATTTTCTAGCTTTTATACATTTTTCTTGCTGAATGATAGTTGAGTGATTTAGCCAAGAATTTATTTACATTTATGTACTTCAAGCAATTTAAAATTTTCTGAATCATCTGACTATAACAGGGATTAAAATTGTATTTTTTTTTTTAAAAAAGAATTTATTCCTGGATCTCAATAAAAACAATAATACCCATGTCTACTCACTTGGCAAGAATTAAGAGGTTAGAAAAATTGCATTCATTTTGTAAAGAATTGAGCACTTTCAAAAGTTGCCCCCTTTTTGATGAAAGACTGTTTTCAAGTGAACTGGCATTATGTAACCATACATAATGACCCTAAAGCGAAAAGTGAGCGGGCACAAAATGGCAGAGCAGAAAGCTGAAAAGCCTTGATCTTGGATAATGATTCTGCAATGTTGCACTAACCCTGGAAGTGCCTGCTTCTAGCTTTTTGCGTTATGAGGTAATTAAATATCTTCATTGCTGAAACTACTTCCATTGGGTAATCTGTTACTTGCAGCCAAATGCACTCCTATCTGATACAGAAGATAAGATGCTGCTCTGAGAACACAGAGTGGATAAAACATGCAGGATCTTAGAGACCATTTTAATAATTTTAGACTTAATCTTCAAAACAATGGAAGAATTTTAAAACCAGGGAGTAACCTGAAAAGATTTCACTTAATGCAGTGAATTGAAAGGAACAAGAACGGATATAAAAATAAGTACAAGCTCACGGAATGCAGGCAAGAGTTAATGGTAGAGGTGATGGAGTGATGCGATGAAATGTAAGCTGTATTTTAGCTCTCAGTAAGACAGGGCTTAACTACCAGGTGTCCATGGGAGGTGAGGAAGAAGCACGTGTCATGGTTGACTTTCTGACTGATGATACAGCGACTGAGTGAATGGTCCTATTTAGGGAGATGGAGATTGCAAAAGGGGGAGAAGGTTTGAGAGGGAAATACCTTGATTTTAGCACTGGCTCTGTTAAATTTGAGATTCCTATGGGATATTCAAGTGGAGATGTCATGTCAGCAGTTGACACACGGATCCAAAGTTAGAAAAAGAGGTGGAGGCTGGAGAAGTACATTAAGAAATTGTTGACCGGTAGATGATTTTTGAGGTCATAGGAGTAGAATAGAGGGCCTTAGGAGGAACTTTGGAGTGAGGAAAGAAGAGGGCGTAGAACTTAGCCCTGAAGAACTTCAGAGGCCAAAGATTGGATAGAAGAGGGACTCAGTGAAGCCTGAGTTGGAATGGCCAGGGGCAGTAGGAAGATCAGGAGAGAGTGATGCTAACAAAATCGAGAGAAGAGTATTATGAGTGCGAATACCTGAAATCTTTTGTGTCAAAGCTTAAATGTCCCTTCTTAAGGGTCCCCAGGCTCCGCAAGGTAAACTGGCATCTTCCCATTATTCTTTCTCTGACCCTGTTCCCTTCCTCTAAAGTACTCGCCATGATTTGCGATTATGACTTCTCATGTATCAGCTTGCCCTCTGCCTCAAATGTAAGCTGTATGAGGAGAGGAACTATGTCATTATATTCACCACTGTATTTCCAGTGCCCAGCAAGTTTTCACTGAACAGGAAAAAATTTAAATTTGTTGATAAATTTAATGAGTAAATAAGTCAAAAGTCCTCAGCAGTATCTGCCTTCATGCCAACAATAACTGAGAGTTTCCAATTTCTCCCCTACCCCAAATTATTCCTGTTGAGAGCTCTGATTAAACAATGATTAAAATTGTAGTTGATGAGCTTTATTGCCTGAGCCCTTACACAGGCTTGAGCCTGCCTCCAGCAGTAATTGATGAATAGTGATTTTAATTTAGACTTACTTCTCCAGTTAATGGAAGGGGATAACGCCAGTTAAAGAAAGCAGATTACTTAGTGAATATACTTCTGTTAAGGAAAAAAACTAATTCCCTAATTTGTGTCCTCAAAGCCCTAACATTCACAATGCTGCTTTCCTGATTGACTAGCTTGTGGTGTTTGCATTTTTAATTTCCTGTATTAGTGAAAAGCCTGCTTTAGAAACAAAGCAGAGCTGTTGCTCTTGAAGTACTATCACTAACCTTCTTGGCATCATAAGGATAAAAAGAAAATCAGGGATTTTGAAAAAAAACCTGTGATTTTAAATAGGTTGACTTCAGATATAGATGCTGGATCTACATGACTGTTTTGGATCAATGACAATTTTGATGCTTTGATCTAAAATGAAAAGCAAATATATCCTTCGAATTAGTTGCATGGATGCAGAAAAATCTCAGTATTGGTCTTCTGATTTTTAGTGTTTATTAGAAGGACTTTTAGTTTTACAAAACCTAACAGATAGATGAGAGCATGAAACATGCTAACCAGATGACTGAGTATAGATTATTCCTCTCCACTGTACCTACCATTATCACCCAACATTAATTTACACAGACTTCCTGTCTAACATCAGTTACAGACAATTTAAGGGACTTTTTTAAAATAAAGGACTATTGATATTATGCATTTTTAATATTATGTCCATTTTATAGGTGTATTTCAGCAGTAATGCATATTTATTATAGGCAAATCATCAATTTTAGATATGGAGAAAGATGAAGAAAAAGAGATATAGAATGCAAACTGAAGATGATCTTCCATATATTTTCTTATGCATCTATACATGTAAATGTATACATATGCACACATACCTAATGTAAAAAATTATAAATTATATTTTGCTTTTAACATGCTTTTTCTGTTTAACAAAGCACAGCATTGTTCCACGTCCATATGCATTGTATACACTTTTAATATCTGCACAGTATTCTACAGTTTTGATATATTATAATTAACTTGACCGCCCCTTTATTATTGACTGATTAATTTGTGTTAATTTTTGGCTATTATGGATTTGACTGCCATCTTTGAGGCGAAATACTTGCCCATCCTTTGTTCTTTCCTTGGAATAGATTCCTGGACGTAGGAGAGCTCTGACCATCTTTCATGGTACTTTTTTATACTTGTTTCCTAAGTTTCCTTGCAGAAATGGCTTAACTTTTCACCGGCAGAGTCTGAGTATGTGTGTGTATTACAGGGATCCCTTTGACCTCACAGAGATATTGAGCTTTGTCGGTTTAATAAGCAAGTCATTTGTGCTCCCACACTTACAGATACACACATAAACATTTTTCTTCTAATTTTATCTCTTGCTATATTATACCTCCTTCTCGGGGGTCTTCTTTGGATAGAGGTATTGATGTGCAATCCTGGGCTACCTGGGTTGCAAATAACAAGATAGAAAAAAAAGGAGTGAAGCTTGCAGTTCTTTCCCTTTCCCCTCCATTCTAGAGAAGGCTCAGGATGGAGCCCCCATGTATCTTTAGGAGAAGGAGCAGCAGGGAGAGGAAGGGTAGGACACTCACTCGGCGCTGCGCGGGGCGCTGCAGTGCAGAGAGGAGAGGAGAAAGGGGAGACGAATCCTGAGTCCCCGTGCGGGCCCCCAGGAGAAGGCAGAGAAACTGCCCGGCAACACCACACCTGCAAAACGAGCCATCTCGCAGCCCTCTTAAATTTCCACTCGGGATGGTAATTGATATTGCAAATGACAATTATTATATGCCCATATTTTTTATAATTTTT